TTTTTTGTGTTCTTGAATACTAAAATCTATAGCCTACTCATGTTCAGCCTAAGCTAACTTACTGCTCAATGCAAAATATGGTTTGCCAGTCCTTTTCTAGCACTGCCCTGTATCTGCACCCTGGGATGCAGCCTTTGACACTGCTGCTTTTGAACAGCTCATACTGCTGATATTGAAAGACCTTGTTATTATTGGAACGAATATAGTGGTTATGGTGATGATGAATGAAAACAAAGCTGGTTAAAAAGGGGGGGGGAATCTGTAAAGGTTGGTTAAAAGTTTTTTTCTGATAATAAAATTGGAGTAGGTCAATTAACATTATAAGTAAACGAAACCTTTTTTAAAATACTCAAAAATCTGTATTTATTTCAATAAATCAGAGGTTTCTGAAGGCCACAGGCATCGCTTCTAAATTTTTTTGAGTATTACAGTTCTAAATTTTTTTTTCTGAGGCATTTCATGCATTCCTTAAGTTCTGCCAAAAAAGGGTGAGGAAAACATACTGCAAAACTGTGAAAAATCATGGCACAACTGCCATAAAACACGTTGTTCACTTCTTTGTTGCCCAGAGCTGGATTTTTGTGCAAAATTTCCGTAATTCTCCTTTTCATCTGTGCTGCTGGCGTTCTCTCATTCGACTGCAGAGTTTGAAACTGCAGAAACTCTTCTGAACTCCGAGGTGCACATGCTGCTCGAGCATCGTAAGCAGCAGAACGAGAGCGCAGAGGATGAGCAGGAGCTGTCAGAAGTCTTCATGAAAACCTTGAATTACACAGCGCGCTTCAGCCGCTTTAAAAACCGGGAAACCATCGCCAGCGTGCGCAGGTGAGCGGGAAAGACAGGGAATAACACTTCCTGGGGAATCTGATCTGTGAATAATGTTGATGCTGCTTTATGAAAGTACAGTTTAGTGGTGTTTCCTGCTCTGTTCTTTAATTCTTTCTGAAGAGGCAGGAAATCTGATCATAATTCTTGACGGTAGGTTGTATTTTGTCCAGGTTAAGCCTTGTGAACTGCTTTGTTTTCAGTATTTCAGTGATAGCTGACTGCATTAAATGGGAGGATTTTCTAGACTTTGCAGGGTAAGTGGATTTAGCAGATGGGACTTTTTTTATTCCTCTATGCAATTATATAATGAGTATTTCCTCCTAACTTCAGTGCCAAAAGCAGTGTGAAAAAAGATATCCATTTGGTTTAGTTTATGCCCTTTTATATTTCTGTTTTGTAATTTCACGAAGTTGTTGTCTTTCTTACAGTTTGCTGCTCCAGAAAAAGCTCCATAAGTTTGAATTGGCATGTTTGGCTAACTTGTGTCCTGAGACAGCTGAGGAAGCCAAAGCTCTGATTCCAAGGTGAGCACTTAAACATATTGTACAGAGACTGCTTTATGCTTCCCTGTGATCTAAAGCCACCTGTGGGCAGGTGCTGTCGTGTCAATCCAGCTCTGGTGATGTAAGAACATTTGATCTTGGTCTTCCCTGCCCATTGATCTGACAGTGAGGCACCATTTGTGCATGTCCCTAATGCATTCCTGACAACTTTTACTGGATTAAGTGTAAACAGCTTAAACTGGGGTTCTTAGCTGGCTGTGTTTGTGTTTGTTGGAGATTTTTGCTGTTGGAGCAAATTAAGTGTTTTGTGGATAAGGTATGTGGAAGCAGTAACTTCTTCATGTCTTCATTTGTTACCTCATGGCCTGAGATAGAGGAGGGAACTAAACATTCATCTAAATCACAGTTTCTTCCTTATATGCCATTATATAAAAGAGAAGGCTTTGGGATGACCTAATTTTGGTCTCCCAGTACCTAAAGGGAGCCTACAAGAAAGATGAAGAGAGGCTTTTTACAAGAGCAGGTACTGACAGGACAAGGGGGAACAGCTTCAAACTGAAAAAGATTAGGTTCAGATTAGAGATTAGGAAAAAATTCTTCCCTGTGGGGGTGGTGAGGCCCTGGCATGGATTGCCAGAGAAGCTGTGGCTGCCCCATCCCTGGAAGTGTTCAAGGCCAGGTTGGACAGGGCTTGGAGCAACCTGGGCTAGTGGAAGGTGTCCCTGCCTGTGGCAG